AGTGTTAGATGGAACACAGAGTATCAAAGATATTCAGATGCCTGATTTCTACTGATTTTAATGTGGGCTTCAGTGCCTAAACAGGAATTGCAGGGGTCTCCTGCAGAGCTGATGGAAGCACTTAGGGTCATCCTCTAACTGGAGAACACAACTGCAGGTAAGGAGTGGAGAAAAGCGACCGATCTGAAGGAGGAAAAGACGAACAGACCACAGATTAGGAGAAAACGCACCAGGACTGATTCTCTTTAGCTTCCTTTGTGGCTGTGAGATGTGTCTTTGGAAGAAGAAAGAGAAAAGGTGTTGGAAGGTAAAACTGTTAAATTATCACATCAAAAAAAGAAGGAAATCCCTTACATTTGACAGCAGCGAGGCAGAAGAGGAGGAAGACATGGTGATACCAGGCTTCTTACTGCAAAGTTATGAAAATCACACTTGGCCAGTAAAGACTAACCTAGCACAAGAGAGTGCTGGGATGGACATGCAAGCATGCTTTTACAAAGAGCTGTGGCAGGGAAAATAAGGTGAATTTATGTTGCTATTTTGGAGTTCTTGTTTTTTTAAAATCCCCATCCAGATATTGGTGAGGAAAGACCTAAATTTTCCTCACGCTGTAGCAGTATCTAGGAAGAAGAGATGTCACCTAAGATCAGAGAGCAAAGATGGTGACTCTGCAGGTCTACATTTTCTACAGCTTATCTTCAGTCAGACTCTCTTTACAACAGTTTTTCCACTTTAAAAATTCTTAAGTATCTCTCTTTCACACTAAAGAAAACAGTGTGTCAGCACACATAGTTTAAAGTGATTTGAAGGTTTTAATTGGTATTTGTAGAAATAAGGAGGTTTTTGAAGCAACTGTGGGTATTTTACAATTCCACCTTGAAGTCTAATCCAAGAGCAGGAGTGCTAGTGTTGCGTAACGACAAAAATAAACACCACGAGAGACCTACTGTTACTTAAATGTGGACAAGTTGGACCAGCTGTGTAACAGTCAACGCTTCTACAGTAATAAATGTTGACAGCAAAAATAAAAAGAATGCATTACTGAGGCATCATCAAATGAGCCCTGTCATTACATGGAAACTCCACCCTGCATAAGCTTGTCAAAAAGTGTTACTGTAATCCTTTGAGAAGCCTCCTCCTCGGGCAATGGAGAAGAAATGTTCAGGATCGGCCCAGAACAGGTGTGCTGCGCTGTAATGCCAGGGTTTAATCACGTATCTCTTCACATTAGTCTCACAATGGAACTAACTCGGATCTATTTGGGCTCATCATGCCACGCCGAGATGATTATTTAACTATTCAATTAGAGTAAGCAAGCTAACAGGGTGTTTAAAAACGGACATTCCAGGGCGTACAACATTTTACAGTTATTATTTGTTTTCCTAAGTCCGGCACCAGGCACTGACACTTAAGAGGAACTGATACTACATGCTCTTTTCAAAGTCAGTCCCTGAAAAAATCTGAGTTCACACCTTGATCAACAGTGGCAGAGGCCACTTGTCCCTGATCTGAGATACTCTCCTTCACGTACAGGAGAAGCTCGTTAGCGGCCTTTATTTCCTCTTTGCAAAAATCCCCAACTGCACTGCCTGAACAGGAGTTGAGGTACCAACATTTGTCGTGTGGGCACTACACGGTTAGAAGAAAATACATCCCTCAGATGTACGAAATCGTTAGCGTAGCCTCAGGGTAATTCTGCACACACAGCCTGGGGCTGGACTTCAGACCCCAGACCTGGCTGCACTGACGAGGGCACGACGGCATCCCGGCCAACCGGCCTCGCTGCTGTTGATGCCACTGAACCCATCATTTAATTATCCATTCTCCACTTCTTATCATCAGTGCCACATAAGCACAATGTCAGTACACTGCTGATCATATTTTATTATTTGTGGCTTGTTACTATGGCAATTTAAGTAGCAAACATATAAAACCAGACAGCATGACAGCTAGACCACGTATGTGCAATGGCGCATCAAAAGTGTGGTCCAAAAGAGGCAAGAGGTTTCCAAAATGTCATCCGTGCAACACAGCTGACAGGCAGCAAGCCACAGGGCCAGTGGGTCACGACTGACCCAGAAGCCTTGGAGGGACTGGGAAAAGAATTGGACAGCAGATTGATCTCCCTTTAAGAAACCTTTGGAGAGAAAACCGGTGCCTAAGTTACACACCACTGCACCTCAAGACAGGTACGTTGGATTACCACGAGTACCCATATGCAGCTCGATGTTTTTATGGTATTTCTTTGCAGATTATGTAAGAAAAGCTTAATCGAACACAATATACAAATCTAAAAATTAAATCCAATTGCTGGTTAAATGATGGTATTTTAGCACTTGATATCATAGTAATATGCCCCAAATTTGCCTGATTAAAATTTTAAGAGGTTACATCAGCAAATTTTACTAATGCATGGATACAAAAGCACAGGATCTAGCTAACCATACTACTACCACCAGCTAACGAAGTGACTCACTTCACCCAGGTGAGGTAAGTCGGTGATGCTGTCCTGAGCATCCTGCCTACACCGTCAGTCGACACCAGTGACAGGGAGCTGACTGTAGAGCCATGCCTGAACAGCTACAGCCAGCGCCATGGCAACACCTGTACCATTAGCTGGCAGTGGTAGCACTCATCCTGTACCGAAATAACCATCAGAGGGCACTGCAAAACATGCTGTGCTAAACAGAATTACACAATAGCCGAGCTGGAAGCTTTCATGTGCATGCAAGTTAAAAATCCAAAGTGGAGAAGTTCAGCTGCACAAACTGACTCATTAATGATTTCATGCTGTTATTGGCAAGCGTCTCCAGTTCTATTTCTCTCTCACACACTTCTGTTTACAGCAAAGCTATATGGATGACTCCTCTTTTTAAAACACAAAAGAATTTTCTGCTTATCTTCTTGTGGTTTTATGATGACTTATTGTCGCTATTAAGAAAACAGTAACAGAAACCGGACCCTGTATCCTGTTTGCTATTGTAATATTTGGGGAAAAATTGCACTGACTGCAATAACATCTTAAAAAAGAAAAGGTGTTGATGTTTGAACACTTGAAGTTGTCAAGTACAAGACTTACAAGAAAGCTACATGTTATGTAGCAAACCACAAAAAGACAATATTTTTCTTTTCAGGCTAAAGCCCTCTATTGAGTACAGACTGCTTGTCAAATACTCCCTCTCTGGAATAGTAATTGCATAAAGTGAGGTTATTTTTTTGTTTTTAAACTTCCTGCTTCAAAGGCGAAAGTGTCTGAGATCACCTTTTCGGTGTGCTTGTAACAGCTAGAGCCAAGGTGTAAGTAAATATCCTATCTGTGTATAGAACTCATAGCGTCTGGAAACCTGCCCCCAAAGTTTATGAAATTTTCCATTAGTTTTCTGAATGTCAAAGTGTGTTAGAAAAAACTCCTGTTGGGGACGAAATATCACTGGTGCTCTCAGTGACAAAAAACCAAAAGGAAATGTGAGAAGAGACTACAGAAGACTTGGACAAATGTAGATTTTAGAGGAATGTATAAAAATTAATTTTCCTTTCTCCCTACCTAGGTAGAGCACTTGCAGTAAGAAGTCAGGAGACATCCATATCGCTACAATAGGGACATATGTTACTGGACTGTCACTGGTCATCCAGTGAAGAACCAACAGCAGCTCAGGACACAGAAGCCAGATCCCGGTTCTGTGATCACAACCTCAAGAATACCGAGTCCTCTCTTTCTTTAAGCTTTGTTTCCCTTACACCCAGACGGTTCTCAATTGCACACTCACTTGGTTTTATCCTCTTAGAACAGGTCTATCACTATCTCACCTGCCCCCACCTTCTCCTCTCCTGAATACTGATGTCCCCTCTTCTGGACAACTGTTCCCGTCTCCTGTTCCTTCCTCTGTTCCAATCCTATCACTCCTACTTCTAGTTTCTTTTCCTGCCCCTTATTTGCTCTTATCTCTCTGCCTTTATATGCTTTTCTTTCCTTTCGTTTTGTTCCTTTCTATCAGCTTCTATAGTTTTCAGTTCTGAATCTTTCTTGGAACTCATCTGTGATCTGAATTTTACCTTCTTATTAAAGCGTTAAAAAACCTCATACCTGACATATTCCTGTTAAAACGCAATAAAAAATTCAATTATATTGTGCCTTGGATTTTTGTTGTAATCCTCATATTAAAATTTGTGTTCAGTATTAACAAAATTAAAGTCAATTTCTTTACCAATGAATTACAGGTAGCATAAATAAAGAATTAAAAATGAACTACAGATATTGTGCAGGTACCGTGCCTTCATATTATTATAATCATAATCGGTAAATCTCTTACTAATGAGATACAAGATTTAAATGTTAAGAATGTGTTTAGTGAATTATTGTCAATCAATGTCTAGACAACAGGATAGAGTAATCTTGAATGGCAACACAGCCATTATTATAAATTCCTGAGTACTTCATTACTTCAAAATGTCATTCGCAACTTATAGAGTATCAGATAAGCATCTTTCAACTGTATACCTCGCTGTCTACTTCTGTGTAATTGAAACACTGTTTTTGAAAAGTCTTGTCATCACTTACCTGTTCTGTGTTGCTGTGAATGCTGGTTCAGTGCTGGCATAGTCGCTTTTCAATCCCCTTTTAAATGTATACCTTTAAGATATATCAGTCTGGTTTTGTGTTTTACCTATGACTTGGAGATAGTAATTGGGGAAAAAAATCTGATCATTGTTTCCTTGCATGAGCATATTAAGCTCTGTAATACCACTGCAAATGTGGTTACTCATGATTAATATTCAGAAAAAAGAAACTCACTGAAAATTATAAGACCAATAAGGAGGAAGTTTCTTGAGAGACCCAAATAAATACACAAAGGAGACTTAACATTTTTAATTCGTGATGATGTAAGAGACGCTAAAACACATCATACCCAATTTCATTGGCTAAAGAAACATCTGATTAATTTTGCATCCCAATGATTTGTGGAATCCAGTAGGTATCTGCAATAACTTTCAATGCTCACCTCATCCTTTATGTCTTCCTGCTGCTGGGCACTGAAGATCTCCATTGCAGCCATCAGCCTCATCATTAGCTCATCCACTGTTGTGTTACCTAGCAACGATGGAAGATAGCTGAACTTCGTATCATAAAAGTTATTAAACAAGAAAGAAGTCATTTTAGAATTAATCCATAAGAAATAGCCAGACTTAAAAAACCACCCATCCAAACACCAGAGTAGAAAATGCAGGTATCTCAGCAGAATGCTTTTAGTTTACCTTTTCACTAAAAATTCAAAATTGTTTTTTACAAACAGATGTTGATCATAGGCTAAAATTTTAGGTGGTTCAAATCTGAACAATTGCTTTTGTGCTTGCATGGAATAGCTCTATTTTTTCTTTTAATCACTGATATTAAAGGAAAGTAATATACCTGGGGTTCCCTGACAAGAAATTGATTTTACAGTTTTAGAATTTCCAGGTATTATGAGGGAGACTGAAGCAATTGCTTAGTCGGGTAACAAAAGGCAGGACGTTGGCAGCAGCATCCAAGTGGATTGGTTCAAAAAATGGAAAAAAACAGAACAGAGCGATCAAATGTGTGCGCACGCATTCTTATTCAGGCACAACTCATAGTAAAACCTCAAATATTACAATATATTCTAATCAGTGTATTTACTTCTGATAAAACTTGTAAAGCTAATAGTGGAAAAGTAAGTAATCTGTGTATATATCAAGAAATACCGCACATACATAGGATACCTCCTCACATTTTTCTACCTGTGTTGGATTAATTTCCTACCAAGATGCACTCAGTCTTTGGTTTCTCTTTCTAAACTACAGACTAGACTACCCATTACAGCCACTTGTTATAGTACTTAAAAGGTCTTAGACCATGAGAAATGGTCGAAAACTATAAACTCTTAACATCTGCCAGCCTAAACAGCCTTTGGATCCTAGTAGAACAATACCAACAAGAGATAGATCTATATTGGTGATGCTGGTCAAAATTTTAAAAGCAGTAAACTAACCAGAAGCCACAATACCACTAACAAAAAAAACCCTGTCCCCATAGTTTCCAACCCCAGTAAAAGTAAAAATCGAAAGCAAACTTAGACAGTCTGCATTTCAATAAACGCCACTGGGACTTAAGATTCTATATTGTTGTATCTCTTCTGTAAACATGCCTTCTCACCCAGCTCTGAAAAGCCCTCATTGTTCCCATTTCTAGCATTTGCTACCTTAGCAGAAAATGTTATCCCACATGCTACAACATGCACGACGTCAGAGACTACCATTCATTTGAGGGCATATTGTTAAAAGATACCGGTGTCCCAATTCCTGGGAAAATAACAAGCACAGCGTGTTTGACTTTTGTTAAAGGATAAACTTAAGTAAGGCTGCAATAGATGATCACTTTATTTTAGTTCAGTTCAAAAGATGGCAGAAAACCTGGCAAATCATTAAAATTTAATGAGTGCAATGAAATAATTTGGATTATTTTATAATATAAAGCTGCCTTGTATTATGACTTTGAGTCACCAAGTTGCTAAAACAGTTGAGTAATTTAAGCCAGCAAGGACCGCCAACTTCAGGGGGAAAACGCAAGTGCTGAACTACACTGCAGAGTTATAAAAGCAAGAGAATCTATTTATAAGATTACTTGTATGAAATAAGTTTTATAAGTGACAGAAGTACCATGAAATAGTGTTGTGCTGTACCTTGCACTAAGGAGACAAATTCCATGGAAAATTCACAATTTTGTCCATTGAAAAGAACACTGCAGATTCCTCAAGAAAATTATTAATCCCATATGCAGAAAGAAACAGTAATGCTGTCTGCAAAAGGCAATATTTCCTGAGGCTGAATTTCCTCAGGAAAATAAGGAGATTAGAATAAAGATTGCTAGCGGTAAGCAATAAATAAATGAAGGCAAACTCGTGGAGAAAGCAGAAGAAATGCGAGACAGCCGTTCTTTGATGTATTTTAATTTGAAGAGTTACTGAGCACGACAGTCAAACAGCATCACTCCACCTCTAAGTCATCTTGCTGTCAGCGAAATCAGAGGAATGGTTACACCAAAAAGAACTGCTCATGTAAGCCAGAAAGCTTCATTTATGTGAGATTATATTAGTAACTTAAATTCTGATCCGATTTGGGGCCTCAACGTTGCAGGCAGGTCTGAAGAATCAACTCACATTCAAATATTAGCCCACTACGTGCAATAGGAGTCTACATATTAACAAGGAACTACATGCAAAGAACTAAATGCACTCTGGCACTACACAAAAAGTGTAGCCAAAATCTTTTGGAAATTAGGGATGTATCTGGATATAAATTTGGAAAACTAAGTGTAGCTCCTTATTTCGGAGATTTGGCTTCCACTTAAAAAAAAAAAAAGAAAAAAAGAAAACTTAAACTATTATTCTACTACAGTCATGGCAACTTGCAGCTCTAGTACTATGTTAACATATTTATGAATAGTAGCTACTTATACCACGGCAGCTGAAAGTCTCTTGTGTGAAACAAATTCATATTCTGAACATCTTGAAAAAGAAACAGTTAGAAAATATGTCTTCTAACAGTTTCAATACTCACCTAAGAACTACTTTTAATATAAAGCGAGAACTGTACCTTGTATTACATTCAATACTTCATTAGATGATCTTTTTCCCATAATAATAAGGAAAAGTGGAAACTGGTCTGTCTTCTGAGTTCGAATTGTTTGGGCTACCACACTCCCGAAGTGTCTAGTGCACATCGTCAGAAATCTATGTGGGGAAAAAAAAAAGTTAACATTGTAGAGGTATTTTTGAAGTTAAAAAAACCCCAAAATTATGCTAAACTCAGAAGTTGAACTGAGTGTTATCTACTGTTTAACACCAAGGCTTCTGCATCCAATTCTAGAGTTCTTATCCTTTTTTATGATTAAATTATGAGACTATTCAGCAATATGATCGATCCCAGATTGTTTAAATTAAAACAATTAATAACCAGTTGAGACAGCGATTTATTTGACAGAGAACTCCATTTCTGTTACACTGTTTTGCAGGTTATAATTCAAAACTAACTCCCCCCCAAATAATCATGCTATATCTATTGTTAAAAACTTCTAAAGAGAAACTAAGTAGAGCTGTAATCTAGTAAATATGATGAAGTATAACAATAGCATAATTTCATATGAAAGCAAAATTTAATAATGAAAGATCAAGAAATTGTTCTTGTCAGTCACAGAATTAAAACATGGTACTTCAGAATTGTATTTTCTTTTGTACTAGTGCCCTGCCAGTGACATACTTAGCAGTGTGGTCTAAAAACAATAATTCTAAGCTTTTGACCAAAAAAAGCTCTTGGATATTAGCATACAGAAGTCTAGCATTAGTATTCTTAACACGATCTTGAATAAATGAAAAAACTGATAAAGCTTTTCTCTTCCATTAGAGGACTGTTTGAAATTAGCATTTCTTTCAAGAGAAAAGGGTAGCTTATGATATGTTTTCAGATCTGATGGTAAAAAGTAAATGTCATAATAATAATGAATTATGAAAGACCAAATGCAAATATAGAATGCTTTAATAAGATCCAATTTAATAAAGTCTGTAAAAATAATGGACTTTTAATAACACGGGTCACAAAAGGCAAAACAGTGGAAATTCTGAGGACTAGCCACTGGTACAGGCTTATTAATTCTTAATTATGTTCATGAAAGGCAACTTAAATCGTGTGTTTTCTTATGCCTTATGATAATATTTTAGGTAACAACTACTCTGAAATGTATGCTCTAACTGAAGAGCAAAGTCCTGTTGTCACATGCATTAGAAGCCAAATCTATTTGAAAAGACAAACTGCATTAAAATGTCAAGCGCTCCAAGTCATTTCTTCTCAAAGATACCGAAAAGATTCAAAATTGTAATTTTTTTAATCTGCATATATTGTATCTAATAAAATGGCTAAAAATTGATAAGCCTGACGAGTTCAACATTGGCACCTGAAGTATAAAAAAACCCACCAAAACTCCTCAGAGACAACTTGTAGTATAACTATGGCCATAGCTGGGTGGAAGGCAATGAGCAGGGGTAGCCAGCAAGTATTTCGAAGCCATAAATGTTATCGGCAAATACCTTTCCTTGCCTCCTTGATTCTCTGTCTTTTGCAATTGAGAACTCTCACACAGAAAGATAAAGCAAAAAATGCCAAATAGGGACTGCTATATCAGAAAGAGCTATGTAGAGACAAACCATCTGGTGAAGACAAAATAAAGAGTCCGTAAAGTCTGGACATATAAACTCTGAAGCTAAATAATGTTGGGTTTTTTTTTATTTTTTGCTTTTCAAGGTGGGAATACATAAGTGAAATCTTGGCCTCACAGAAGTCAATGGTGATCTTTCTCGGCAAAACGACTTGTGTATGTTCAAGGTTTCACTCCTGAAAGCAATGAAGTCAGGGGTCAATTGAACTGAATTCCTGAAACGTGTGTATTAAAACTGTTTAACAGTCTTCAACACACCACAGAAGAAAAGCGCTCTAGTTTCCCATGAAAATAAAATATTTCACTGGAGGTGAAAAAGTGTTGTAGATAATACTGCTAGAAGGAATGAAACTAAGAGATTATTACAATACTAGTTGCACCAGTCAAAGGTGGTGCTTTGCTTTGGTTTGGTTTTTAATCAATTCTGTATTTAGTCAACCCACAACTCAGTCTCAAAATATGCTTTTATAGGTATGGATTTTGTATGCAGAGAATTCTGAATGAAGTAGGTATTTCAGTACATTCGAAGAACAGCCAAATATTTTTTTTCAAGGAAATGAATTTTCATACATGGAACTTCTGGCTGACTACATGGAACCTAACAGACTATGATACCTTGGGGTCTTCTGTAATCAAGGCTGGGAACAGGTTTCAACTCCCTGGCTTCAGAAGATGGCATGTCATGCCAGGCTGTTGTAAGAGTACACATACTGTCCTGTTGAGTAACAGCAGAACAGATGCCAGATGCCAACATCTTCCATTACGGTGTTTGTTTTTTTTTCTTTTGGGGCCACTTCTTAAAGCCCCTGGTGCCATCCACCCTGCTCTTTCAAAGCTCCCTCTGCTGCTGTTGCAATCTGCGTGGCTCGCAGGGAGAGTGGCCAGCTCGCTCACGTGCCAGTTACAGGGGCAGCTCATGCCAATTCTGATCCAAATGCCACAGATTTGCCACTGCAAATTCCACCCCTTCTTGGGGGAGGAGTGAGAAACAACTCTTCTTCCCAATGCTTCCAACTTTGAATAACGAATGTGCAGATTACAGCACGGGCAGCTGCAATAAGGATGTTGGTGGGGAATGAACAACCAGCTGGTGCTTATGAATGCATATCTTCAGAGCAGAGCCAACACACACGAGAAACTCTTCTCACTAACATGATCCATCAAAACTAGATGATCTTTAAGGCCTCTTCCAACCCAAAGCATTCTATGATTCTGTGAAAATAGATCCTGCCCTTTGGAACCAAGTAAGACCCCACTTGTGCATTCAACTAAAACGTAGTAAAGCCAGTAAAAACGTGAAGGAAGTCAAACAATGCAACATTGAATAAACAGCAGCAGCCATCTCCAATGCCTGCACCACATAACTCCAGTTCACCAGTGATTACCCACTCACACACACACTCTGCACCAGGCCAGTGGTAAGTACTCAGCAATTACTCATAACACGTCTTTTCATTTTACTAGGTTGGTAGGAATTGAATTTTCATTCATCATCCTTGCTCAGTTTTTCTCATGTCTTTTAATAGATTTTGCAGCTACCTAACTAATTTTGTGTTTTCCCTTTTTTGCCTTTCCTGATTCTGTATTTGCAGACCTTTTTACTTTCTTCCACATTCACATCCAGGAAAAAAAAAAAATCTCTATGCTAATATTTACTGTCAGAAGTATGTGAGTAGGACCAAAACAATTTGGTGCGATAACCAGTATCTTACTCTGTACATCACTAACAAGGGATTTTCTTACTTTCATCTAAACAGAAGTGTGCCAGATCTTTCAGTGGCATCTCCAGAGCTGCCAAGAGAACTGCCTGCAGAGCGCATCAAAGAGCCAGATGTCCCTCCAGGGAGAACTGTTTTCCACAAGACACTGGATTACTGTGATCTCCAACCAACAGTGGAAATAGAGGGATGCCGCCAGAAAGGGAGGGCAAATGGCACCCTACTAATCCTTTTGTTTTTAAATTACAAAAAATATTCAAGGAGGGAGAAGTATGAGAAAGGCAAAAAGCATTTTATGAAGGAAAAATTCATTAAAAAAAAATAATCTCTAAAGTTACAAGAATAAATTTCATCAAGAAAAGTAATAGTTTTAGCAGACAGCATCATTTCTTCTTTCTTGACTCGCTAGCAATGAAACCAGCAGTTATTAAAGCTACAGAATAAACATGGGCACTGACCACAGCTTGACAAATATAGAAACAAACCCTAAAAATATTACCCTTATCTTAATTTTTTAAATGTAGATTGAACAGGTTTTAATTCTTAGACATAATTTACTCCTTAGTTAAGAGTGGCACACAGGACTTTTTTTTTGGTGAAATGAAGATGTTAATTTTGAGGGTTGCTGATCACTGCACAGCAGTTATTCCTCCACGTGCACTCTGAGATAACCTGTGCGAAGAGTTATCATGTTTGTAGCTCGATAGCCTCCCAGAGAAGAACGTTATCATTCCGAAGCAGCTAATATGTGACACATTATATTAAAATACACTCCTGGCATAACTTTTTTGTAATTTTATAATAAAACGCAATTTATTTAATATTACTTTACAAAAGCTCCTAGAAGGCAGTTATGAAAAAATAACAGCTTTAAAAATCTATTGAAAAGATCCCTCCTTACCACACCGCATATAAGAACAAGCAAACAAAAAAACTATGATGCTAAATACTTTAGAAAAAGGTAATGATCCCTTTAATATTTCAATTTATTATTGAATATTTCAACTTTAGCAAGCTAAGAGCATCTCTGGTGCCTAGTCCTTAAAGGGGGCACAAAGCAGAGGCGTTCATTGGATCCCACACTGTCACGTTGTATTTTCCAATGTGAACTGGCCTACTCAAATCAAAGCGATTCCTACTCTTACCTAGTAGAGGAAGAATTTACAAAGAATTGAAGAACTGAAGGAAGAATTTAGCAAAGAATTGATGATTCTGAGCAATGAATCCTCTGCATTTCCATTCAAATTAATGTGCAAGGCAGCACTGCTGTCTGTTGCCCTTGGCCTTGATCTAGCGGAAGGACTCTAAAAGAGCAGAGGAATTCAGCCTCCTTTCTCTTTCCACTCAGAAAAGTGGCAACTGGCACAACTTTGAAAGACATGGACAGCATCTACCAGTCATCACTGAAATCAAATATTAATTACCCGATGCCTGTCCTCAGTTGTGGTATCAATTTTCAGTTACCTACTGGGATCAAACTGATAGGATGAATATCTCTGCATACACCCCAAAATTAATCAATCTTCTCAAGAGATTATGAATAAAATAAAGATCTCAAACAGTCGTGGCAAAGTATAGTTACAGAAAGAGTAACTATATCTAAAATGCTAATTCTAGCTCTTTTTTGTTAATCAAGAGAAGGAAACTAACGCAGCTGTGCATGGTACATTGCAGTATACTCCTGGAATGTGCAAAGAGGGACACCTGATGCTACACTTTGAATGATTTTTGTACAGTCAGTCAAAAATTGAAAGTCGTCCTTTGCTTTTGCTTCTCTTAAACTTTCCCCAGCACCTTAAGGTTA